TTGGAACCCAGCCGTGTGTGGTCATTCATGTATTGTCTGCGGCAGCTTTTGTGCTATCACAGCAGTGCTGCTAGTTGTGAAAGACGGCCCACAAAGCCTAAAATATTTACTCTCTGGCCCTCGGAAAAGTTAGCTGATCCCTGATCTAGAATAATATAGTCCAATTCACCTTTAATTTTGAGTCACTGAGGAAATGATTTCCTTCTTAATATATTGAGTTTTCTGAGAAACTTGGCAGTCAGCATTCAAGGGTGATGCAGCTCTCAGCTGTTTCCGAGCCTAATAACCCAATTGCCGGTCTCTTTTGATTGTGTAGATCAGTGGCCCCCGAAGTATGGTCTTTAGAAAGACCCCTGGGTATTCCTGAGATCTTTTCAGGGAGTCCCAAGGCATCTAGGAAATGCTCGCCTTCTGCTGTGTTGATTGATGCCTGCACTGATGACGCAGAAACAATGGTGGATAAAACCGCTGTGCGGGAGTGTGAATGGGAACAGTGACCCCAGCCTGCGTCAGTGATTAGGGCACACACTTGCGGTGGTGCTGGTGCAATGAGTGTCTTTGCTAAAGTAGGAAAAACTTAACTTCATTAAATCTCCATCTTTGGGTACATGCCTTTTTGATATTCTGTGTGACGAAATGGAAGTGTGTATAAAACACTTCTGCAGACTGAACTGCCATGGTTGTCGTACAGAACAGTACCTGTGAAGATGTTTGAGCCACGAACTAGCTGCTTCTTTGCTAGAACACCATTTTTGCTTAAAGGATGATTCACAAACTGTTGTTATTCAGAATTGGGAATTCGGCAAATATTTTTTTATTTAAAAAATTTTTTTACTTTTATAAATATTTTTTAAAATTATATTTCATTGATTATCCTATAAAGTTGTCCTGATTTTTTTCCCTTTGCCCCCTCCACCCAGCACCCACTCTCCCTCAGGCAGTCCCCCCACCATTGTTCATGTCTATTGGACATACATATAAGTGCTTTGGCTACTCCATTTTCTGCACTGTACTTTGCATCCCCATGGCTATTCTGTAACTACCTATTTGTACTTCTTAACTCTCCCACTTCTTCATCCATTCCCCCACTCCCCTCTCCCATCTGACAACCATCAAAAGGCTCTCTGTACACATGATTCTGTCTCTGTTCTTGTTTGCATAGTTTTTTAGATTTAATTGTTGATAGATATGCATTTCTGCCATTTTATTGTTCATAGTTTTGATCTTCTTTTTCTTAAATAACACCCTTTAGTGTTTCATACAATAATGGTTTGGTGATGATGAACTCCATTAGTTTTTCTTGTCTGGGAATCTCTTTTTCTGCCCTTCGATTCTAAATGGTATCTTTGCTGGGTAGAGCAATCTTGGCTGTAGGTCTTGCTTTTCATCACTTTGACTATTTCTTGCTAGTCCCTTCTAGCCTTCAAAGTTTCTTTTGAGAAATCAGCTGACAGTCTTATGGGGACTACCCTGTAGGTAACTCTCTGCTTTCCTCTTGCTGCTTTTAAGATTCTCTCTTTATCTTTAACCTTTGGCATTTTAATTATGATGTGCCTTGGAGTGGGCCTCTTTGTATCTGTCTTGTTTGGGACTCTCTGTGCTTCCTGGACTTCTATGTCTATGTCCTTCACCAAACTAGGGAAGTTTTCTTTCATTATTTTTTCAAATAGATTTCCAATTTCATGCTGTTTCTCTTTTCCTTCTGGCACTCCTCTGATAAGAATGTTGTACCTCTTGAAGTTGTCCCAGAGGCTGCTTTTACTATGTTCATTTTAGGGGGTTCCTTTTTCTTCTTGTTGTTCTGATTGGTTGTGTTTTGCTTCCTGTGTTCCATATCATTGATTTGATTCTCGGCCTAATCCACCCTAGTGCTCTTTTACTGTAAATTTTTCTTTATTTCAGTGAGTATATCCTTTGTTTCTGACTGAGTCTTTTTTATGCTGCTGAGGGCCTCACTAAGTTCCTTGAACATCCTTATAACCAGTGTGTTGACTTCTGCATCTGATAGATTGCTTATCTCCATTTTGTTTAGCTCTTTTTCTGGAATTTTGATCTGTTTTTTCATTTGGGCCATGTTTTTTTGTCTCCTCATTTGGGCAGCCTCTCTGTGTTTATTTCTGTGTATTAGGTAGAACTACTTGGACGCTGTGTCTTGGTAATGTGGCCTAATGTAGTAGGTGTACTGTAGGGTCCAGTGGCACAGCCTCCCCTATCACCCAGGCTGGGTGCTTGAGGTGTACCCTTCATGTGTGTTTGAGTACACCCTTCTCTTGTAGTTGAGCCTTGGTTGCTGTTGGTAAATCAATGGGAAGGATTTACCCAGGCCAGTCAGCTGCAAGGATTGGCTGTGACCACTGACCACCACCCTCAGCCCTCTGTGCAGAATCAGCTGTGCAGGGGTAGTGTGGTGGTGCTCTGACATGGTCTGTAGCTATTCACTGGGTGCCCTGGCCCTGGGCTTTCCCCAGTGGTGAATGCCCAGGTTAGCTCCCACTTGTGTTTTTCAGTCACTCTTCCTGAGCTATGAAGCAATCTGAGATGGCTGTTAGTTGTGCTGGGCTTGGAGAAGCCAAGCTGTGAATCTAGGCCAGCTGCTGCTAGTGCTGGGCCAGGGGCTTAACTGAGGCCAGGTGTTGCTTGTTTGAGAGGATTTTGGAAGTTGTGAAGCATGAGCCAAGACCAGCCATTCATATGGAAAAGCAACTTGGACAGGGCTGTAAGTTGGGTGGAGCAGAGTCTTTGGGAATCTTCAAGGCAGGTCAAACAGTATTAGCCAGGTTAATGGAATCTCAGCTTGCTGGCTCTGTGGCTTTATGGAAAAAGACAAGGGCCTTTGCTTACCTTGATGCCAGACACTTTAGTTTCTCCCTGTATGCTGTGCCTTTCAAGCTGCTACTGTGGTGCTAGAGCTCAGGGAGTGAGTCTGAGTAGGTGAACTGTGTGTGGGTTCTTTAAGAGGGACTGCTTGGGGCTCCAGAAGTTTCTTTCACTAACTCAATCCCTGCTGGTTTTTGCAGCCAAAAGTTGTGGGAACTTAAAATCCTAGCATTGGAATCCTGAGCTGGGAATCATTTCCCAAGATATCCCTCCTGAATTTTTTCCACCACACATGGGTATGGGACCAGCCCATTCTAAGTCTGTGCACCTCCTGCCTGTCCTGATGGATGTGGTTTCTTTAATTCTGTAGTGGTCAGACTTTATTCAGTTCGATTTCTGATGGTTCTGAGTGGTTGTTGTTGTCATTTTGATGTAGTTGTTTGAAGAGGTGAGCTATGTCTGCCTGTGCCGCCATCTTGACTGGGAGTCTGGCAAATACTTTTTCAAAAGTAAACAAAGTGAGCTGACACTTGAAGGAAAACAACTGACTGTATTTGTTGCCACTGATAAAATTCAAGTTTGCTACCCCAAATTAGAATTTTAGAGAACTTGTGTCTTCTACTTTGAGCTTGACAGTTTTCTGATATATAAAGAATTTTCTGGTGAAATTGATGGTGATAGTAACAAATGTGGTCTCATTGTAGTATGGGATTTGTCACCATTTGGAAGATCTGTGTAACTCTGGGAACCAGTATGTTCAAAATGACCAATGTGTGAAGTTACACACTCATAATGGGTAAAAAGATCCATTCAGTGTTTAAGACAGACCAATGGATTTGAGTGTATTAGCAACAGAAATTTCACTGATAGGAATTTATATTCTACATGGCAGCTAAGCTTGAAGAAACAACCACTCATCAAGTTATGGTATATTATCAAAAGAGAATATTAAAAAGACTACTAATATTTACTGTTTTCAATTATATCTCTATGTAACATTTTATTCTAATCCTCCAACCAGAACAACATCTGACAACAGACTGAGTACAGAACAGATAGGAGAATCTAGCCGTCTTCTGTTAATAAGATCTGTAGAAATGCAAAACAGTGCCACTTTTCTGACTATTTTTTGTTTTGGAAAATATACTTTTTAAAAATAAAAATTGTGTTAAAATAAAGTTATGTAACAGGCTTTAATGTTTAATCAAAATTTTTCAATTTGTTTTTTAAATATCAAGATTGGTAAATATTTACAGATATAATCCACATAATGGAATCTCTGAGGCCATCATTCATTTTTAAGAATGGAAAGGGAGGCTTTTAGACCCAAAAGATTAATAACCATTATTGTAGATTATGATCATTCACCATGAAGTTGGTTATATGAAATGGGAGAAGTCATTGCTACAAATTTCAACAGCACCTATTACTGATTTTCTGTCAGAAAAGTAATATATGAATACAGGCCAAAACTATCTCCAAAAGCTGTGGAAGAGGCTGAAACAAAAAAATTAAAAAATTAAGTTCTTTAAAAAGAAAAAAAACTAAATGGCATACATTTTCCAGATGTGGACGGTGACCTGAAAGCACACCTCTGACTATATGTCATCTAATAGTTAAATAATTATTATATAATTGCTATAATAGATATAATTTAGTGATAGTCTATTAGGCTTCATCCACTTTAACTCTGTTCCTCATTTAATGCCCTGCATAACAAGTAATACCATTAAGTCCCTCACTGTTGGTCACACAACACATTTTGAGAGCTGGGTTTCAAGAACTTTTTTTTTTTTTACTTACTCTAAAGCTCTTACTCTTTTCCCTTTCTTATGATACTGTTCATAGCAGCTGTACTATGTACAAGCATCAACTTTCTAAAAATGGGTTACAAGATCTTGTGGTAAAGGCTCCTTTTGACACCAAGGCTAGGTAAAGACTTGTCTTCAGTTTTAGCTTGGTCGTTACAGCAAGGAGGTGGTCTTCCGGAGTTACTGAAAGACAGTTCAAAAATGAATGAACTGAGCTGAAACATTTTGCTAGACACTGACCTCCACAGTAAATTAATTACAGCCCTTCTGATTGACTTGGGTAGAATGAGAAAAAATGAATGGTCAGCATGATTTGTGTTCTTTTGGTCATTTCTCAATTTAATATGTTTACTGTTGTGATCACATTTCCAGGCTTCTCCAGTGACAGTGACCTGGTGTCTCTCACTGTCGATGCGGATTCTCCTGCTGAGTTAGATGATGGAATGGCTTCCAATCAGAGTTCTCCCACTAGAACTTTTGGTCTCAGTCTTTCTTCGGATCCTTCAGCACTAGGGGCTGTGGCTCCTGACAGCGAACCGAACAAAACAGAAGAAGAACGGGAAAATCGTAGCCTCTTTCCTGGCAGTTTAAAATCCAAGCTTGGCAAGAGAGATTATTTGGAGAAAGCAGGAGAATTAATAAAGTTGGCTTTAAAAAAGGAAGAAGAAGATGACTATGAAGCTGCTTCTGATTTTTATAGAAAGGGAGTTGATTTACTCCTAGAAGGTGTTCAAGGTACAGTTTTATCTGTGTTAATATGTTTCTTATGTTGGTATCTGGGAAAGAAGTTGTATACATACAAGTATATCTTATGTTATAATCCTATGTAAAAACAGACCGAAATGATAAATAACTAAAGATTAAGTGACCTGTATATAGGTGTATATCTCTGGTTACACGACGGTATCAAATATACTGAACTATATGCTTTGATCAATTAATCAACAAAATAGGGTTTAAAAAAAATCAAGTCTCTAGTCTCTGTTATGAAAAATCCTTTTTTCCCCTGACGTGGTCAGTGTTCACCAGCCTTCACCTCTCTCAGGAGTGTCGACAGAGAGATTCTTCAGAGCCGTAACTCTCAGCGGCCTGAATAGACAAGGTGAAAGGGGCTTTTAAGTAAGAATGTGAAAGGTTTTCTGATTTGCCTGCTGTTTTGTTCTGTTGTTTAGTAGAGCAAACTCTCAGCTAACAAATGGGGGTGAAACGGGGCATGTGCAGTTCAATGTTGCTGAAGTCAGTAAAGACCTTACCTATATTTTAAGCATCAGTTTTTGTTTAATTATTTGCCCTTTCCTTATAGAAGCAGGGCGAAGCGTGCTGCAGTTAGTGACACAACTTCCCAGACACACACATTGAAGGTTGATGAGACCTTCCTTCCATGCTTTTCTTTCTAGAAAATTAACATTTTCATTGTTTTTTTGGTGGTCTTCGACTTGTTAGTATCACTCAGATTACCACGATGTCCTGTGTTACTAGTGCTTTTTTAATCCTACCCTCACTGTGTCCGGCGTCCTGTGGTCTGGAAGCGTTTTGTTGTCCTCTTCCTCGGATTTAAACTTGCATCCTTCTCCTGTGGTGTGAACATGAATATGTGGTTGTATGGCGTGGAAGGGGAAGTGTGGTCAGCGGCATGCTAACTGCTTTTTAACCAATTTTAACGAAGTCTGTTGTTTTTAATTCTTTTATGTCCACAGCTGCCTAGTGCCACCAGTTTCTGAACTTTGGGAGAGATTGTGCACCATGCATGTCAGGCAGCTGCAGGTCCCCCAAGTCCGTAACCACTCGTCACCTGCATTTCTGTTGCTGCTATCTTTTCGCTCGATCTCTTTGTCCTTGTGGCATTCTGGCTTAAAGATAGTTATTTTAGAGCCATGTTAATGGAGTTTCAGACAGGAGCATTTCTCTTGGTTTGACTGATAGTACAACATATATCATTTTGATACAGACTTGTTTTTCAAATAGTTTCATAATCTGTTGGTTTTTTAAAAAATAATTTATTTATTCATAGAGAGAAGGGAAAGGAAGGAGAAAGAGAGGGAGAGAAACATTAATGTGTGCTTGCGTCTCACACATACCCCCTACTGGTGACCTGGCCCGGAACCCAGACGTGTGCCCTGACTGGGAATTGAACTAGCAACCCTTTGGTTAGCAGGCCAGCGCTCAATCCACCGAGCCACATCAGCCAGGGCGCTATTGGGGTTTTTTGTTTGATAGTGAAGCATTCTGGTCTTAAAGATCTACTTATTTTTCTTCTTTGTCTTAACTCTTATTTTGGGTTGGGAGTTTAAAATAGGCATGAGTTGCAAACAATCTGCTCTGATATTTTTTCCTTTTCTTTTTAGATAATTTTTTGTGCTCAAACATCACTAGTGTTTAATTGACATAGATAAAACATATCAGTGTGATTCTTTTGTCTAAAGTCATTTACATATAACCCTAGAACACTTCATAATGTTACCACTTGATGGCACCAGAAAAATAAAAATCTTTGCTTCAAAATGAGCATTATGGATGCACATCAGCAAATAAAAAATATATTATTTAGTTACTTTGTGATTAGGGTGGTGAATTATTACTCCAATAGAACTTGATATCAAACCTACTAGATCTCTATCTTAAAGAATGTTATCATTTAACCATTTTTTTTAATAGTCATTGGAGGATTTTGTTTTCATTGCTTTTAGAGAGATGGGGAGGCAGGGAGGTGGGGAGAGGGAGAAACATCATGTGAAAGAGAAATGTCAATCTGTTGCCTCTTGTATATGCCCCGGGGATTGAACAGCAGCCTAGGCATGTGCCCTGACCAGGAATTGAACCTGTGACCTTTCGGTCCACAAGACAATGCTCCAACTGACCAAACTACGCTGGCCAGCGCAACCATATTTTTTTCTATTTAATATGTGCCTCTCTTTCTGAAACCACAATACCCATTATTGTCCTGGATTGTTTTTTGATGTTAATGTGCCATCAAATCCAAAAAGTTATAGTAGACTAATTGCTTGTAGCCTTTTATTGTTATTCAAAATGTGATCAATTTTTGTTCCTACAAACTGTGGAATCATAATCATTGAATTCTAATTTTTAAAGGACATGTAAAGTAACATGGTTATGTTGCACATTTAATTATGTGTCAGATGTAATATCAGGGCAGTGCTTCTGGTCCATGGATTATATTTAAAAGTATTATTCTGCTCCTAACAAATGCATGGACATTATCAAAAAAACTTTTGCCCAGTTCAATTGACATAATTGACATATAGTATCAAATTCAAGCTATAGAGCATAATGATTTGATAAATGTATATATTGTGAAATCTTACACTGACAATAAGTTTAGTTAGCATCCATCACCTCACATAGCTATAAACCTTTTTCTGTGAGAACTTTTAAAATCTATTTTTTTAAAAAAAGTAATTGCTGAGTTAATAGTACCATTTCTTTAATTCTTAATTTTTTAAAAGATTTTATTTATGTATTTTTAGAGAAGGGGAAGGAGGGAGAGAAACATCATTGTGTGAAAGAAACATTGATTGGTTGCCTCTTGCATGCCTGCAACTGAGGGCCCTCCTGCAACCCAGGTGTGTACCACAACTGGGGATTGAACCAGCAGCTTTTTGGTTTGCTGGCTGGTGCTCAGTCCACTGATTCACACCAGCCAGAGCAAAGATCTATTTTCTTAGCAACTTTCTATTTTCCTTTTTTTTAAATTATGTTTTATGGGTTATGCTCTTACAGTTGTCCTCATTTTTCCCCTTTGCCCCCCTCCTTTTGGCACCCCCACTCCCTCAGGCAATCCCTATATCATTGTTCATGAACATGAGTCATACTTAGGTTTTTTGGCTACTCCATTTCCTATATCGCAACTACCTATTTGTACTTCTTAATCCCCTCGCCTCATCACCCATTCTCCTGTACCCCCTCCCACCTAGCAACCGTGAAAACACTCTCCATGTCCATGATTCTGTCTCTGTTTTTGTTTGCTTAGTTTGTTTTTTAGGTTCAGTAGTTGGTAGATATGTATGTATTGACATTTTATTGTTCATAGTTTTGATCATCTTCTTTTTCTTAATTAAGTCCCTTTAACAGTTCATATAATAATGATTGGGTTTATTTTTTTGTCTGGGAAGCTCTTTTTCTGCCTCTGATTCTAAATGGTATCTTTGCTGGGTAGAGCAATCTTGGCTGTAGGTCCCTGCTTTTCATCACTTTGAATATTTCTTGCTAATCCCTTCTAGCCTGCAAAGTTTCTTTTGAGAAATCAGCTGACAGTCTTATGGGAACTACCCTGTAGGTAACTCCCTGCTTTCCTCTTGCTGCTTTTAAGATTCTCTCTTTATCTTTAACCTTTGGCATTTTAATTATGATGTGCCTTGGAGTGGGCCTCTTTGTATCTGTCTTGTTTGGGACTCTCTGTGCTTCCTGGACTTCTATGTCTATGTCCTTCACCAAACTAGGGAAGTTTTCTTTCATTATTTTTTCAAATAGATTTCTAATTTCATGCTGTTTCTCTTTTCCTTCTGGCACTCCTCTGATAAGAATGTTGTACCTCTGCCTGGGGCCACCCTCCCTGAGGCTGCTTGTCCCAGAGGCTGCTTTTACTATGCTCATTTTGGGGGGTTTCTTTTTCTTCTTGTTGTTCTGATTGGTTGTGTTTTGCTTCCTGTGTTCCATATCATTGATTTGATTCTTGGCCTCATCCACTCCAGTGCTGTTTTCCTGTAAATTGTTCTTTATTTCAATTAGTATATTCTTCATTTCTGACTGTGTCTTTTTTTTTGTGGTCGAGGACTTCAGTAAGTTCCTTGAGCATCCTTATAACCAGTGTTCTGAACTCTTCATCTGACAGGTTGCTCATCTCCATTTCATTCAGCTCTGTTTCTGGAGTTTTGATCTGTTCTTTCATTTGGGCCATGTTTTTTTGTCTGCTCATTTTGGCTGCTTCCCTGTGTTTGTTTCTATGTGTTAGGTAGAGCTGCTTTGACTCCATGTCTTGTCTTGGTAGTGTGGCATGATGTAGTAGGTGTCCTGTAGGGTCCAGTGGCACAGCCTCCCTTATCACCCATGCTGGGTACTTGAGCTACATCTACTGTGTGGGCTGAGTACATCCTCCTCTTGTAGTTGAGCCTTGTTTGCTGATGGTAGGTCAATGGGAGGGATTTACTAAGGCTAGTTAGTTGCAAAGTCTGGCTGTGACCACTGACTACCAACCTCCGTCCACCATGGAAGATCAGCTGTATGGGAGCAGGGTGGTGACCGTGTTCCTACATGGTCTGTAGCTGTCCCCTGGGTGTGCAGGCTCTGGGGTTTCCTGGGTGGTACAGGGCAAGGTTAGCCATCACCTGTGTTCTGCCCGGTGGCCACCCTGACTGAGCTATAAAGCAATCTGACATGGCTGCTACTTGTGCTGGACTTGGAGAGTCCCAGGAGAAACCAAGTTGTGAATCTAGGCTGGCTGTTGATAGTACTGATCCTGGCACCACTTAGCAAGAGGTATAGGCACTGGGTTCTCAGTGAGGCTGGCTGTTGCTTGTTTGAGAGATTTAGGAAGTTGTGAATCATGAGCCAAGACCAGCCATTCGCATGGAAAAGCAGCATGGGTGGCCTGTAAGTTGGTTGGGACTGAGTCTCAGGGATTCACCAGGGTGGGACAAACATCATTAGCCAGGTTGATAGTACCATCCTGCCAGCTCTATGGGAAGAGGGTTCAGAAAGGGTACATTGTTGTCTGCCCA